GGTGGAGGAGGGGCGGGGGCGCGGGGTGAGACAGTCTCCGGTTGGTCTGCAACCATGGTTCGAGAGACTCCCGTTGTCTCAAACAGTACTGTGATACACCCACACGCGATTGCAGTCTGCCCCGAGGAAAGGAAGGTAAAATGAGGGGAACAAGTTGCACTAAATGGTCTTGTTAGGTTGATAACCCGTAGCGCTGTCTGACATCTGCAGTTCAATAAATCATTCAAGGCCTGTGAGCGGACAGCAAACGAACGGCTTGTTCAACGTGGAGCGGGCGGAGCGACCGCCGCGTAGCTGCATGGCAAAGCACCACAACCCTTCGATGCAACGCTAGCAGTGACGAGCCAATTGATGGGTCAGTTGATCTTTGGAGATGGGTGAAAACGTCCGATTCTTCGCGATCAACCTTCGAGTGCATATAGTGTACAAACACGAGATATCCCCATCATCAGTGATAAGGAATCAGGATGTTGGTGACGATCCTGCAATGAAGCAATCTGTGGACGGTGACGTCTTATTGCCAGGCGAATCATCGTTGAGAATCTGGCTCCCGTCCCCCCCCCCCGCCAAGAATCTTCAATCGGGCCAATCGCAAGCAACTACCATCTGGAGCTGGCCAAATAAGCCACTAAACGGTGACGCTGATCTTGCTTTGCAATTGTGAGTGCATCTCTGATCGCTTGATGCTGCACGCCATGCAGTACTCGCAACTGACACACACACACACAAAATAGGAAGGGGTTTGTGTGATGCGGGCGGAGAGCCAAGGTCCCGTCATCGAGAAAAGCCCGTCGGCTGCCGAGAAGCACAACCGGCTTACTCGAAGCAGTCCAGCTTACTCCAAGTGGGGTGAAGGATGGAATGCCAATTGATCCCCCCGGACAAACAGCCGCATCTAGTGCACGAGCAAGGTTTTTGAACCATGCTTGCATGAGCGGTATCGCTTTGACTTTATCTTGTGGAATGCAGACTCATACCACCGGCTTTCTCTCGGCACATGCACCTTTATCTGCAGGGCAAAAAATAAAGTGGCGTTTGCGGCGGCAAAACCTGGCCGTCTGCCGGGTAGGAAGGAGGGTGGCTCGGAAAGTGTCCTCGAAACTGGAGACGAACCACCCCGCGTGTTGTGGTTCCCCTCTCTCCCAGCTCACAAGCTTTTGCCACTTGGTAAAAAAACGAGTGAAAACCCTTCAATCGGTTGCTTGAGCCTCTGCCTAGCTCTCTGATAACGGAAACACTTGACTTCAAGTATTCTGCCACAAATTGAGTTGCGACAGTTCGATCATTAAGACATGGCCGTCGATGAAACTCAGAACATCCGCGACGATGCACCAATCCGGGCACCCAGCATGGAGGAGATAGCGCCGTTGCTTGAATCTCAATTGTCGAAGCCGCACTACGAGACTTTCCCTGAGTCTTGCCCTGAAGAAGTCTGGAAGCCTTCTCGTGGGTTTTGGTGGATCGAGACAGGTAACTATGTGTTCCGTCACTCCCCGTGATGACCCGGGCCATCGGCAGCTGACAAGACGCGACGATACGAACAGCGCTATGGGCCAATGTGTTCCTCTCAGGGTTCGACGGCACTATCACAGCCTCGACTTATACAGCCATTAGCTCTGACTTCAGCGCTGCGAATAATGCTGCCTGGCTGACGACCTCGTACTTGATCACGAGCACAGCCTTCCAGCCGCTGTATGGCCGCTTCTCTGACATGTTCGGGAGGCGCATTTGCTTCTTCGTCTCCACCCTGACTTTCATGGCTGGCTGTTTTGGTTGCTCAGTAGCCCAGACCATGTTGACATTGAACATTATGAGAGCATTGACTGGGTTTGGAGGCGGGGGCCTGATCACCATGGGTGAGTCGTCCATGGGACAGGTCTCGATCGTTGAGGAGCACTTGCTAACCTCGTCCACTAGCGACTGTCATTAATTCCGACATGATCCCCTTTAAACAAAGGGGCATGTATCAAGCCATGCAGAACATCCTCGTAGGCTTCGGTGCCGTGCTGGGTGCATCTCTGGGCGGCATGATTGCTGAGAGCATCGGTTGGCGGTGGTGCTTCTTGTTGCAGGTCCCTGTATCCATGCTGGCCCTGGTGGTCGGGTATCTTGTATTGGAGAACCCAGCACACACAATTATCCAGCTCGATCCAGCACGACAGTTCCGGTCTGCCTTGCGGTACCTCGATCTCTCCGGGGCCGGGTTTCTTGTTGTCGGGTTGGTCTCTCAATTGGCAGGACTGAGCTTCGGGGGTAACGAGTATCCATGGATGAGCGCCCCAGTGATTGGCACTCTGGTTGCGAGTACTGTGTTCTTGGCCGTGTTCATTGGAATAGAGTCCGAGACAAAGGCGATTCCCATGATTCCCCTCCGGATGTTGAACAGCTGGCAACCGATCGCCGTCCAGCTGACCAATGTCTTCTCCGGCATGTCGTCGTATGCAGTGAGTTGCCTCAACCGCATGCCGTACTGACAGGTTTGCTGACACAACGACAGTATATGTTTATGATCCCGCTGTACTTCCAGGCTGTTCGAGGCGATTCCCCTTCTGCCGCCGGCTTGCGACTCATTATCCCTTCTCTTGCAACGCCAGTCGGTGGCGTCATTGCGGGATCGATGATGCACCGTGGCTATCGGTTGTGTTGGAATGTTCGCATTGGTACGGGGTTGATGCTTCTCGGGAATCTGCTGGCATTGTTGATGGGAACGACGGGGTCTCGGTGGAAGGAATACGTGTATCTGGTGCCCGCCAATCTCGGTCTCGGCCTAACGAATCCCAGCGTGCTGTTTAGCTTTGTCTCCTTGTTTGAACACCGAGGTAAGAGACACAACCCAAAGGAGGAGAGGCACAACCGGGAACTGACCTTGAACAGAGCAAGCAGTGGCCACTTCGACGGTGTACCTGATTCGGTCCATGGGAACGATATATGGTGTGACCATCAGCGCCGCCATCGTGCAGAATGTTCTGATGGCGAGGTTGCCGGCAACACTGGGAGAGCAGGCCACGGAAGAGGTTCGTCCTAAAAGGCTGGCATTGTTGCATTGTGTTGAACAGCTGCTAACATACCAATAGCTCATTGAGAGGCTGAGGCAGTCGGTTTTTACTCTGCGTGATCTTCCGCCGGATATTGAGATTGCAGTGAGGGCACTGTACTACGACGCAATCCGGATGGCATTTTCTGCATCGAGTGCGTTTGCGTTGTTGGCGTTTGGCTTCTCGTGGGCGCACAAGACCGGGTCATTGGCGCGGAGGTAGTGAAGAGTGTGGTGCAGTGTCGACGTCGGCCACACGGAGCTGTCCGGTTGAGCTTGCAGAGACTCGAGCAGCCGAAATACCGAAGGGAGGATGCACCGAGAAGCCGTCTCCCATGGCGCTCCCTGGGCGAGAACGACAGATGCTCGACATCGGGGAAGTGGAATCGCTCGCGGATTGAGCTGGTAATGAATGACACTGGGTATTTGAGGGGTATGGGTTTCCTCGGTTTGTTGGGACGACCGTTTGTAGGCTAGGTGGGTAGGATAACACGAGGTGCTGTTTGGCAAAAGAATGTTCAACGCCTTTGAAGCTCCAACCGACGCCTTGTGAATAAGGACCGGCAAAAAGGTTTCTTCTAGCGAATGCGATCGGGGGAAGAAGTCAGGGAGAGACAGCAGCTCCTCAGGAAAAGGGCGGAGAGGTAAGAGGCAGTGGCAGGAGGCCATGCCCGGGTTGTAAGAAATGGAAGGAACCTGTAGGCACTGTGAAGCGATGTGCACTGCGTTCTTTCCGTTCCGAGATGGTGTACGAAGCTCTCGTCAGCCAACCCCGAAATGGCGTGCGCACTTGCAACGCGCCTCGCCCCAGGGATTGGCAGCCGGCGATAAGATAACCGCTAAATGGCGGGATAATGTCCCCCAACGCCTAATGTGACCCAATCACGCCAAGGGTCTTGCCTGCCGCCGCCTCCTCCCTTTCCACACGGAAGCCACTCAACATCCAGACTTGCGCAATGGGCATGAGGAGAAAACATCCTCTCCCTCAAAGTTGAGATCCGGGTAGCTCCCTCGCTATTGAGTTCCTTCAAAGTGTCAACCTTTTATTGATAGATACCAGGTAGCATACCGAGGATCAAACCGCCCGCCATTTAGAGACGCACTAACAGCCCTAACCCTGCACTCAGAAAATACCCAAGGATGTTGCGCGAGAGAAACCTCCCGGTTGCAGCACTCAACAGGAGGGAGGTAACTTAGACACCAATGGTACTAGGTACTACCTAGATGGGAACTTGGAGGTTATAGTCGTCTACCTCCCAGGCCTTTGGACCTATTACGCGACCCGATTCCCAGATAATTTAGGAAGTTCGCTCCAGAAACTATTTTCCATAGGTTGAGCAATGTATACGGTACTTGATTGTTGCTTGGCCGTCGTCCGTCTACTAAGACCCACTTCCCCATCCTCAAAGAGATCAGATCCTATTAGGAAGAATTCTCTTTACGCCCCTCGGTATCCATGATTGATACCGGCACTTAAAGGCCGAACTCTCTATCATGTCTAACCCGTAACCGACAGCGCATAGGACACCGACATGTCTGTAATGAGCCGAATAAGCAAGTCACTAATGACCCGCTTAAACATAAGCCTGAGGTCAAGAGTAATAGTTAGCATCTTGAATGAATCTGCAAATTCGAGTCTGGGACAGATTGAATGTCTTGCCTGATCAGTGATTTGCGACTCATTTAATTACATAGGTGCAACCTGGGCCCCGAAAGCTAACAAAAGACACAAGGACGAGAAAGCGAGAAACCTCTCTTCATCTCCAAAATAGAGACATCAAAGACAAAGTGGAGTTTGAGCACAATCGCAAACTGGCAACCCCCATAAAACCCGGTGGGGATGTCAAGCCCTGGAGTGGATGCAGCCTGGCCCTCACAACACACACACGTGCATCGTACATAAACCCCATGCCACAGCAAACAACTCAACAAATCCATACCTATAACAAGTGTCCACACTTGTTAGTCTTCCATAGTATAGTGGTCAGTATATGAGCTTGTCATTTCCTTCCCTTCACACGGAAAATAATTACCTCGCTCGGGACCCGGGTTCAATTCCCGGTGGGAGAGACCAAATCACACGGCACATGGGTGCGCTACGGTGGATGATCACAAACATCCACACTTCTTCCGTAGTATAGTGGTCAGTATATGAGCTTGTCATTGAATGCATCTTCCTGAGCAATCAGGAGGTTGTAAAGATACTCGCTCGGGACCCGGGTTCAATTCCCGGCGGGAGAGATACAAACACTCAGACCGTGTGGTTTCCTTTTTGTCTTGGTGCCTTCGGTCTTGTCTTGGCTTCAGAGTCTTCTTGGGGCTAGGATTCAGCTCTTTTTGTTCAGTCAGCATGCTGTTGCTAGGCGTACGGATAATATTTTGTATATGAAACCGTGCTCATGATAACATTGAAATCACGGTGGTAACATTTATTCGTCGTTGAAGGTTCAAACTTCAAGGTCAATATTCGACTTGAACATGACTTGTCGACACGACCAGGGTCTTGCGATCCCGCGATGCCTTCTCGAAACTTTTGTAGCCCAGGACTGAGCTGGAGAACGACCGCTTTAGCTACACTTGAAGTTAGGGGCTGGAGAGCCTCATTGAAATGTTGTTCGAGAACCATGTCATCATCCAATAGAAACCCATCGAGCTGGCAATCCCTGCATCGGATGTCAGCAATTGCCGCAAGCCTGCAGGACAGCTGAAACGCGCTTCGCAATGTCATCCGACGGCCGGCTGTCATTTTCTCAGCTCTTTTGCGTACAGAGTTTTCCCAAGCTTGGTGTCATGATACCTCAACCCAGCATCTCATTCCCCTGTCGAAGCTACTCCGCGGTACCTCATCAACCCGCAATCCAGGTATATTGACTGCTTGTTCGCGGGACCAGCAGTCAACACTGGGAGCCAGCGGCCGACTGGATTCACGCATCCTTGCCGCAACCGTTGATTACGACGGGTACAATGACTGAAAAGGCAGAGACAAGTAGTCAAGCCACCGCAGCTATCGACAAGACAATGCTGGGTGAACCGAGTTCAGGTCCGGTTCGTGAGGACCAAAACACGCCACCGGAGCCCAAACAAGCCCCATCGTCGAAAAAAGAAGCAGCTGCCACGACCCACAAGACGCACCATGAAGTGAAAGAAACGCCGCCAGCCAACAAGTCCGAGGAAGCCCTCCTCCACCTCCTCTACGAGCTGCGATGCACCCGCAAAGAAACCGCTGACGCGCTGCGCTCCATCCAGCGCATCATGAAGGGCGAAGACGACGACGACATGGATCTGGCCGAAGCGGTATTCCTCTCCCAGCAAAACCACGCAGCCATGGAGGCAGGCTACGACGAGATCGCCGGCATCCTCGCGCGCTATGCGCCGACGCAGGCCATGCTGCAGCGCGTGCGCACGGTGTGGGCGCAGCGCATCCACGGCATCCGCGAGTGGGACTGGGACTGTCTGACCTGGCACACCACGGAGCAGTACTGGCGCGATGCCGGCGCGCTGCGCAACGAGACGAGGCCCATCGTGGTCACCTTCCGCGGCGTGCCATCGACGCGCGACGCCTGGGCTGGAACGTCGCTGGATGCGTACCTGGAGCATGAGTGGCCGGCTGTCAACACTGCGGCCCCTGAGGGCTTGCTCTCGGACTGGACGATTAAGGCTGATGCACCCCGCCGGACGGACTGGACGAGGAGGAATATCGAGGTCTTTGAGCATCTCGTGAACGACGCGGGCCTGCCCGAGTTCTTTAATATTGCTGGGGCACAGTCCAAGCATCAGAAGATGTGGAAGAAGAGGAAGGTTGGTGTTGCTTGGTATGTGCAAGCTAAGCACCATGAGACCGGTGATGCTGGCGTTGATTGCTAATGGAGGTATATTTATAGCCAACTCAACTTCTCCTGGCCAGGAGGCCTCCCGAGGACAATCGGGTTCCAGGAGCTAGCAATCATCGCATGTCTCCTCGGCGTCGACTACGAGGTCCTCTTTAACCCCTTTCTCCGAGGATTCACGTCCGCCTGGAACAGATCAGAGATGAAGCCCAGTATGACTCGTAGATCACCGCTCTTCCTCCAATACCACATGCGGTCCTTTTGCCGGGGACGCGGAATCAACATCGACGCTCAGGCGATGAAGAGCGAGGTCAACGGCACCGGCGTCTACTGCAACCGTCAAGACGGCGAGTTCAAGGCCAACAACGGCAAGGTCTTTCGCTTTGTGGAGCGCCGGCGCTGTCTGGCTCTGTACTCGACAATCCATGTCCATGAACACGGCGCCTATGTGCTTACGGAGCTGACGGACGGGGACGACTGGGGCCCAAACTGGATCGACAAGAGCAGCTGGATGCAGTACCGGCTTCGCCCATGCCTGATGTTTGCGGGTGTCGCCGTTTTGCAGTGTCGCCTGTGCGAGATCATCGATACATGGGAGAAGGAGTGGAGCACTGTTCTTGATGACCTGGATCAATCTGTCGACATACATGTCTGTACCCGGCCCTGGCCCTGTCCCATCTACCAACTCCTGATGTGTACCCGACATGAGAAGAAGTAGTCACTGACACATGGACGACAGCTCGAGGATTTCTTCATCCGGGAGAATAGGTTGAAGCTCATGTACGATGACGCGACACTGGGCAGATCCGAGAACTACTTCTTGATTCTCCAGCTGCTCCGCATATTTGCCAACTGGGTGCAGGACACGCTCGAGGGGTTCAAAGAGCTGGAGAGCATCTGCATCAGGACCATCTCGGACGAGGCCGCCTTTCGAGACCGGTGGAGAAAGCCGAAGACGGCCGGGATGGTGATAATCAAGGCGAACTGGAAGGCCGTGCGGTTGCATCAAGACCTGTGTGGCAGTCGCCTCCTCAACCGCATCAGCCGCAAGACGGAGGAGATGACCAGTCTTCGGGATGGCGTACGTTACAACAAGTCATTCTTTAGGTACTCATCCCATTTGCTAACGCTTGTGACTTTGTCTAGCTGTTCAACGCCCAATCCGTCAAAGAGACAACCAAGGGGACGCAGATGAACCAGTACCTCATGGTGTTTACCATTGCAACGATTCTCTACCTCCCGCCCAGCTTCATATCGGCAAGTAATTCGCTTACTCTCCTGCTTGGGAACTGCGCTGACCGCCCGTCTAGACCTTTTACGGCATGGATCTGTACGTCGACGACGACAACCTGCCGCAGACAAGAACAATCTTCTGGACCGCCTTCAGCGTCGTCTCTGCCGCCACGTACCTGCTGGCGTTCCTCGGCATCGCAGGGGTGAGGCAGCGTGCGCAGTTGCGCGCCTGGTTGACCTCCTGGCGCCGCCGTCCATCGGAAAACAGCACGCCGAGTCCGGCGAACCTGAAACCTGACCGCGATGCTCCTGAAAATGCCCCGAAGGAGAAGCCCAAGACAATGTGGCACTCGCTACGAGATTGGGCTCATATCGGATCCAGGACGTCGAAAGAGGCCCAGAAAGATGTGGACATTGCATGACACCCGGGCTGGTGGCTTGGCACGATCTTAGCTCCGAAAGTGCCACAAGGACAGACGGGCCCAGGCTTGAGCTTGAAGAAAAAGACACTGGTTAGCGTTGCCCAGTGCTCGTCTGGTGATGCCAAAGTCACTCTAGCGCTCGAGATAGCCTCTGTTGCATCCCGGCAGTGGCCTCGCCAAGCCCTGCCAAGGCCACGCCAGCCGGGTTGTCTGTTTCGCAGGGCTGAGAACTCATTGGACGCCGCTGATGTTTTACTTGCGTACCTGTCTGGGGCTGAAATATCAGGACCCCTGAACCTGGGATCTGGCAGACACTTCAGCTGCTTGATCCCACCAGCAGCCTGGACTGGCTTTTTCCGGAAGAGTCTGGCGGAGTTGATAACCTGTGCTTTGGGACCTTGGTTTGATGCAGTGCTCGACCATCTTTCAACTGTTTACTTTTGGCAACAGAATTTCGGGACTTGCCCGGACCATACGACATCATCATGGGGCCTGAGACTGCTGGTATGGAAGATCAACCCGATCGGGGACGCAGCCCATCACCACGGTCCTCGACATCATCCAGACACTCAGAAGCGCGGTCCCGGTCGTCTTCATCCGGATCATCCAGCAACCACGACCACGACGCCACCTCTCCCACGAACCATGACGACTCAACAACCCAACACCACAACAGCAAAAGCACCCACGCCCCACCACAGCCCCTCCCACAACCATACTCTGCCCCCTCCTCCTCCTCCTCCCCCTCCGAAAAGGGCCACCCGTTCCTCGCCCGCCTCGCCATCCCCATCGGCCTGCTCGTCGGCGGCGGCATAACAGGCGGGACAACCTACGCCCTAGTAGCCCGGGTGCAGCACCTGATCGCGACCGCCAGCGTCGACGGCGCCATCTCCAAGTGGCGAGCCGAGGCGCGGTCCCAAGTCTACGACGCATGCTACCTGGGCTGCACCGACTGTGACGATCCATCATACGCATACAACGCGTGCCAGCGGACCGCGCAGCTGGTCGCCGCCGACGGCGCGCTCTGCGACGGCACCAAGATGTGGAACTGGGCCGACCGGTACCCGGACTCCTGCCTGGACGCAATGGGCCAGGTCCTCATGGGCGACAGGCTCAACGCCGTCAAGCAGGGCTACCGCAACCAACTCGCCATCATCATCCTGACTGTCCTCGGCGGCGTCGTCGGCGGCATCCTCGCCTACATGCTCTGGCGGCGGATGACAACCACCAAAGCGCAGCGCCATCACAAAAAGCAAACACCACCATCCTCCTCCTCCTCTTCCAACAAGTCCCACCGCAGTCCCGCCCGCAAAGGCCGCTGGGCAGTCTTCACCGCCGCCTTCCTCGGCCTCTTCGCGCCCAAAGCCGCGGCATACGCATGCACAGGCCGGGACACAGCCTGGTCCCAACCCTTCACATCAACCAACACCTCCCTGGCCTTGTCGGGCGTCGTCCACGGCTGGTTCAGCAACTGCTACGACAAGCAAGACTGCCACAAGACATGCACCAGCGTATGCACGACGTCCTCGTCCAGCGGCACGCGCACGTGCAGCGACAAGTGCTCGCAGACGTGCACGTCACGCACCTACACGGACCGCAGGCCCAAGTATTACGTCGATGCGATCTTGCCGGGCGTCGAGGCGTGCGGGTTCCGGAGCGTGGATGTGCTGGGCGGGAGTCCGGGTGTCGAGGCGACGTTGTTGCGGGTCGGGAATCCGGAGCTGGAGAGGACGAATTGGGTGCGCATTTTGGTGAGCGG